ACATATATATATATATGTAAATAGATCTATGAATAGTGTTTGTATATATATATATATACATCTATATATATATATATATTTATATATAAATTTTTATATATCTACAAATTTCTATATGTATATATGTATATATGTATGTTTATATTTTTATCAAGACATGCGTACATCTGATATCATAAGTGGAAAAAAATGATTTGGCAACTGAAGCATATTATGTGTTTATTAGTATACATATTCATAGCTGAATATCATTTTATAATCATGTATAGTTTATTCGGGTTTATTTAAGTAGACCAGTTAATTCGGCTTGAATACAGGTTGCCCATATAGTATCCGACATTCAAGAGTGTCTTTGTGGGTTGGTTTCAGAGTTTCCCAGTAATGTTGAGGTACTTTGGTGTACTCTTCACTGCGAATTGAGCATTACTTAATACTTTTACAAATTCTAGAAAGAAAGAGCTTCCCGTACACTAGTTGTCAGTGCGTGTCTTCACATAGTGTGCATTCAAATACAGACACACGTGTTAATACTACAACCCCGAATCTCTATGCAGCTTGTGGATTCCGTAAGAAGTAGACAACATGGCACCCCTACCCAAAGAAATCCTGGATGCAGAGCGTATCGAGATGCAACACCGAGACAACTGTGCTAGCTTCTTGGTACCACTAAACCGCTGTAGGTACGAGACCAGATACAAGACCTGGAAGTGCACAGACGAGCGACATGCCTACGAGAAGTGTCAGTACGAAGAGTACTGTAAGCGTATGGAACTCGCCAAGGCCGCCAAAGCAGCTGCTGCGGCATCGGAGTAATTGATAGGAAGGCTATCTTCGCGTGTTATGCCCTGGATTGGATGCTTAGGGACTGGTACACTTTCCAGCGCTTCGCATGCTGTTTATGGGGTGGGTAGACCGATACTGTATGCACAACTTGGATTGTATTGGTAAGTAGGGTTTACCATATCTTCAGTGAGAATCACTCCCGAGTAGACACGGTACTGTTCGGGAGTTATGCAGCAGACATTTCCCTGAAACTTCTTCAATATGGTAGAATTGATCACGAGATGTGGGGTATATTGTCAAGTATAGTGGTTGCTCATGTACCTTATCCTCATGTGTACGCCGCTAAGTGACGTTGAGGTGCTTCGAATCGTCTACCTGGGGCAGGCGGTGCGAGGAAACTATAAATAAATATGAAAACGCTCAGATGCAAATGTACGGCATAGTGTGTTTGGTAGCGAGCTAGGCGTAGAAACGGGCGCCCGATGCTTGGAACTCGCGACACTCTTAATTTTATACCGATCAACATTCTGTTTTGGTAGGTTGGCTTTAACTCTTAACTTTCAGTCGGGCAGGTGCTGCAGCATTCTATCCTTCACTGTACGCTCTTGTTTGAAAGTACGTTGAAAATCCCCCTCCTATCTATCTATAGCTTTCAATATAACTAAAACGGGAACGAGTATACGAAATAGTGTTTAGTGTTCTATTGCCGCTCAGCTACTTCTGATCGCTTAAGAGCCTAGAACAAAACTCGTATCGATGGGTTTGAATCTTGTGCTGAAATAAGCACTGACATGGTAAAATATACATTCCGAACTCGAATTCGAATGGACAAATATTAAATCCCGTGGTGTCATATAATAATGTTCATATGTGTAGATCATAGTGACATTTCATGATAGAGCTGAGCAAGATTAACATCCACCTATTTAAATTATGTCTCATTTAATGGTTGCGCATATGCGGGAAATGTCCGCGGCAATTTTCCTAGCAGTCGATCTGTACAATCTTGGTATTCCAATACACTTAGAAGGCGCCTATTTGAAGCAGTTGTCATATAGACAAGGCACTTAATTAAATTGAATTCACTGAACGCATATGTGTACGAGTTCCGAGTGCCGAATTGCGATAGCGTGTTCACCAAAAGTCACAATCATGGGACGGACTGGCAACAGTGTCTGAGACTGAGTGAGTGTATATGCAAGTCATCGTAAATATTTATAAATACTCTCTGAGGCATTTTTGAAGCTAAAGATTGAAGATTGAAGTGCTTTATTTTGATTTTTGATTTTTTGAAAAATAAATTACAAAACAAAATATATTGTCGGATCGGGATTTGGAACTCCGGTCAAAAGTGAAGATTTAGAACTCACTAAAGATTCCATTTATTTATTTTGCCATACGCCGCTAACTATAGATGGGTCCAAACTGCCACACTCACTAGACTAATTGCGGTTAAAATCGCACAGGTTTTAAAATCAAGTGCTGTATGCATGTGCTATAAAACCTTCTGTGTTGAGAAAACTTTTATCACTCAACAGCATTGAGTTTTAATATTATTCCATCATGTTTCGCTGTGTTCTAACTTTGGTAGCGGCCGCGACCGCCTTCGCGCAATCAGAATCAAATTTTGAAGTAGGTCTGAAAACGCTGGTGCTAACATCCGATGATTATTCTTTTGTTTTGCCGGAGCTCATATTGAAAGCGTACGGTAGTGACTATGAGGTGGTTAGTGTGACTGAAGAGGTACTAGTAGTCGTGGATGGAGTGGAGGAGGCGAATCGTACGATAGTTCCGGATGCTGTACAGTTGTTTGACAGCACAGGTGCACCTAAGTACAATTCAATCGTGTACTCATCCTCTAATTTGGGATATTCTTCGCTGGAGGCCTGGATTCCGTCCGGTCTATCATTCGAGCAACGAACTATGCTGGACAATTACTGTAGTCGATTCGGTGTACGACGTGTGATGTTGAATAGTCAACCTGCCGATGTTGGTGATCCAGCTTTAACGGCCGCTCCGAGTGTGCCGTGGGGAAAGTTAGGGGATGCAAACACTCGCGTGCAACTTCGCAGTAGTGCCGAGTCATATCGCGGAATGTTAAAAAGTGACCTTGACATGGTTTTGGGTGGAGAACACGAGTTCGCACAAAATTGGGTCTGGATCAGCCCAGGTGTATTTGATGCACAGAGACCGTCGAATACAACTATCCTGCTCGATCTAGACTACTCTGATGGGTATAGTGTAAGCACGGGGGTAGGTGCAGCTGTCGCCAATGATGTGATGTACTTTTTCTTCGCTGCCGATAGTTATGGACTATCTGGGCAAACTTTGGGTCATCTCTGGTTCCCCTGGGTGACTAAAGGTTTATTTGTAGGTCAAAGACGTATCATACTGGATACTCAGATCGATGACTTGTACTTAGACACGATGGTATATAACACCACACTTAACCGTCAAGCGACTGACGATGAGTTTGAGCCGATCTTTGGATACCGCACCACTGGTCCGGATATCAACTTTCATGCGAAAATCCGTAACAAGATGCGAAAGACAATGCCGACAGGAACAAATTTCACCATTCAGCTCGCTTACAATGGCAAGGGATATGGCGAATTCGCTAATGTCCCAGAATATTCACCTAATGCGAATACACGCCTACTTCGTCGGTTCAATCAGTTTCTGTGGCTGACGCACACTTGGAATCACATCGATATGTACTGTGTCAACTCCAATTGTGCCGATCCTGCCCTCCCTGTACCCACAGTGCCAGCCTACACCGTAGGTGCAGATGGCAAGCGTACGTACATTGAGCCAGAATATCCCACCTCGGGATACACCCCACGCGACTTACTTCACTACGAACTCGACCGCAACAACTACTTCGCGAACGATGTTTTGGAAATCGATACGGATGCCAAACGTGCGAAAAGGTATTCCCAATCATCCATCGTAACTCCTAGGATTTCTGGTCTGAATTACACTGTAGCCATCGAAGCCATGCTTCACGCGGGGCACTTCACTGCCGTGGGGGATAATAGCAGAATTGATCTCGAGCCAGACAATCCCTACCATCCATTCATGGCTAAGGCAAAGGTGGGTGAAAATGGAGTGCTACTTTCGGATGCCGACAGAGAGGCTTTCGAGTCACGCATGATGTCCGAATACGGTAGAAAATCGGTGATGATCATCCCAAGATTTTCGACACGGGTATACTTTGATGTCAGTACTCCGCTGCAGAATGCAATGGAGCACAATTCTTTCTACGGCCCTGACTGCTATGGCTGGGATCAGTGGGAGACTCCCACAGCTGGCGGATTCAAGTGCAATGCCGGCACCTTCAAGTATGTTGTAGTAACAACAATATTGTGTTGAGCTCCAGAAATGTATACCGACTTTACTAAGCGAATGGGAAATTTAAATAGTGGTTCGTAGATCGGGTCGGAATGTTTTATGCAGCGACTTTCGGATTGAATGAGAAGGCAGTTCGTACGTGTGTTTCACATATGCCTCCGCAATTCCCAGTGACTAATAGTTTTTAATCATTGGCAAAAAAAATTATAAATATCAGATACCCCAGAAATCTTACTTTCGATGAGATCATGGAGATCGAGGGCTTCGAGGCTGCTCGCAATCTTCTCTCTCTGAGAGCGGACCCCTACATGTTCCATCAGGCAAATTTGCGAGTACTTACCGAGGATGGAGTTGAGAACTCTTTGCTCAACAAGTGGATATCCGCGGCACTCCGGTGGGTGCGATCCTACACGGAATTCCCTATCAAGACATACAAGATGGACGATTTAGCTGATGTGTACAATGGACGAATGAAACGAGACCAATGCGGGGTTGAGGCAAAGGTATCATACAAAGTGGGACAACCTAAAGGTGTGACGCTCTCGAAGGCTGAATCTAGCGAGGGGTGTGTGTACAAAGTTACGCACACCACTGTCGACGGGTCTGCCCCCTTTGTTCCTAGAGGGAGTGACATCTCGGGTAGGTCAAGATACGGCAAAGACATAACATATGACGTGACTTTTAGTGAGATTGCCATGACGAAAGATCTGAAGTTCAAAACAGTGGTTGCTGTTAGAGACTAACTCTAAGTCAGTTGTCCATTAAATTAGAGTCTGACAGATGCTCTTCAAGTATGTAGTATTAATTAATAAAGAAGCCAGATAAGCATCCAACTTTGTTGGGAATGCTCTCTTCAGTAGGACATACATATCTGTGTCGTTCAAAGTTACCACATAATATGCATAATACCGACCGAAAGTTGAGTACAGAACTTGAGGGCAAGAGACCTAAGAACACCTGAGGGGAGAAATACGAAATGCCGGAGAGGCCGCAAGGGTGACATCAAATGTATTTATGTATTTTTAGTAGTCTTGTGAAGATCCGATCTTGAACCCTAAATCGTAGCCTCCTAAATTGAACATAAATCCCTATAAAAACCAAACCCTAGATCTTATGTTTTTAATAATAAAAATGTCTCATAAGATTAGGGATATTTATTTAGTATTTATGTAGGGTTTGCAAATGATGCATCAACGACTCATGAGCTTCGGCTTCGCCTTCATTTTGTATATTTATTTGTTTATATTCATAGTTCACAATAAGTAAATACATACACATGTATTGTAATACGCTGATACCGCTTGACGCAAGTATACGTTGGTACCACTTGACGTAAGCATACGGAACTGAGGTGATACTCATCCCGGATATTGATGCTCCACATAGGACTTTATACTGTAGACTGATTCCTCATACATAATTATTTAGTGTGCATCTAGGAATGGTAGTGAAGCCATACCAGTTCTACCTCTAGTGTACATTCATCAACAGCGATTTTTTAACCTGTTTTTGAGGTTGGCTGCGTGTCAAGCATGCGATCGGTATTGAATTCCCACACGTGTAGTACGTAAATTTCAAATCGATCACTAAGTGCGTTTAAATTGTATATATAGATATCTAGCATGTTCATCGCAACGACGTTTAGCATCGGAGTGCGCTCCTGTGCGATCAAATGCGCCAAGTCGACGACCCTGAGGACTACTCAACCCATACAACACATGTGGTATGGGGTGTCAGGTTTGTCTAATAAACCGATCACGCAGCGTAACTTTCATGCGTCTCTAGCTAGACCTCAACGCCGAGGTTATTGCTCAGGACAGAACAGCCAAAAGGCAAAGAGAGGTATGTGAGTGTTGTCTCTCGAGGGTACTCACTGATATTCTCATTGTTGATAGTGTTAGCGAGTGCACAACATTAATAAAGCTGTGCATACTTTTGTGTTGATAATGCATCTATGCATATATGCATATAAAT